GCCGAAAGCAGAGGTTAACCAAAAAGCATGAAACCAACAATCATCCAGCAATCGATATCTAGTAATTCCTACCTGCGCCGATGTCTTGGAACTTATAATAAGTAGCTAGTAAAACATTAATGTATTAGGCTATAGAGGCTTTTTCTGGATGTATGGCATATATATCTATATATATTCATTTAAAATTAACATAAACAAAATTACTGGTGACTAAAGTAACACCAAAGTAGTCAAGAATGAATAGCACAATAATATAGATGCTGTCCTAAAGATAACTTTCAAGTGTCCCTCCAAAAGTTGAAATCATGAAGAAGTTACTCAAAAGAATGCTTCGTCAATACAAAACCTTACTATATGAAATATATTCAACCGATTCCATTTAAGATAGTTTAACTTTCCCATAATTATATAAGTAGACCTTATGTTTCCATTGAATTTTGCATACCCGCATTTTTCCCAAAGGTATTCTTATCCAGAGTGGACTGCAGTTTCGATCTCGCCTAGTTCTCATGAGCACCTCCAGTGGGACTCGAAACATGAAGGTGCGGCGTAGAATCTCGACACGATAACCACCATGACACATTTCCACGATTGCCCTTAGGTTACAGGGCAAACGTTAATTTCAAGGAAGGGCACTTGTGAAAGTATGGCGTGTCAAGCTTATACGATGCAGTGCCATTAAGAGATCGAAACTGCAGTCCACTCTGGCTAGGTACACCTTTAGGAAAGCAGGGCTATATGAAATCCAATGGAAACGTCAGTCCTAATCATATAATTGTGGACAAATTCAACTACCCCTACTTCATCACCTTAAACGAAATAGGGTGAATACATTCCATAAAATCTTACTTTTTGTTTTTTGCAGGCATTAGCCGCTTGAAATAAATGGCCTAACAGTAATCGTTTAGCAAAAGTTGCTGAATACAATAAACGCGCTATATACCATCGTAAGCCAAAATACCAATGCAAAGTCAATCAGTTCTTCAGTACTAATAATTTTAATTATCAATGCCTCTAGTTACTTTGGCTCGCATCAGGCGCAAAAATTCATTCTTAAACGTAGGCATATAGATCGAATTAAGGCAAGCTGAAAATCTATCTGCCAGCTGACGCTTAGTATCCGTCTTAGACGTCTGGTCTTTAGGCATATCTGATGAGGCAGAGGCAGAATCTTGCATGCGGATGAAATCAAGCAGATCTGGTGGCTCCTGTGCAGCTAATGCTTCCACCAAGACTTCGGCAAGACGGCCACAGTTCCAAGCGCAGATAGATGGTTGTCTTGAAAAGGCATAGCGTCCTGATATGTCTGAGGCATTGCACACATAGTTTGCCTGAAAGCGATCCATGAAACCGAAGGGGCCATAATCGATTGTGAGACCAAGTATGCTCATGTTGTCAGTGTTCAGTACCCTACATCATGGTCGAAGAAATAACCGGAGCAGGTAGAAAGAAGATGGCATGAAAGAAGATTCAAGGATAGGATATGAGTGACGACAAATTTCTTATAATGAACAAGTATAAAGATGGCGATAAGTGATTCAAAAGGCCTAAAAAATATAAATGAATGATTAAAACTACCCCACTAATTGTAAGCCATCATAGTATAAATTTAGGCGATTTAGGTTTCTGTTGAATTAAAAATGAATAGTAAATGAAAGGGAAAGTGAGTATGTAACAAGTGCAGCAACACAAGCATTGGTTAAGTAAATTGTAGTAACAATTGCCAGTAAAAAGGCGAAAATTAGCCTAATTTTAGGACTATAATGCAGAAAAAGTAGAAAAGCTTAAATTCTGGTTTATCTTGGCTACAAGTTTGTTTAAAATGGTCTTTCCTGACCATGAGTATATACAAACAACCCAATTTTATCAGCAAAATTATGTACTTTATTCATAATTCAATGTTTTTGGAAAATTCTATTAAGTGTCCAGTATGAACCTGTTTAAATTTTATGACTCATATGCCTTTGAATGCGGTCTTGTGTTCTGATAATCTCTTGTGATGGGTTGGTAGTTCCCACCCGTAGACATCACCAGATGAGCACAAAACCTTGTAACACCATAATTAAGAAAGATGGTTCAAAAGCCTCGAAAAGCTGGCAAGGCAGAGGAATGTTAATATCTCTTTGCACATTATTCTGATGTTACACGTGGTCAGTAATTCATATAATACTTTTGCAAGCTGACAGATCGGCAAATTCGGAAACCGGCCCTAAATATCAATTTCTCCTCATTATATTTATAGGTATTGAAGTATAATAATGAATCTAAGTGAATAAATTAAAAACATTAATATATATTCGTCAACCTAACGATATCCTGGTACCAGTGATTTGTGTCTTCTAAGCACAAACTACGTCATCATTGATTTAGCAATTCCCACTTCAACCCTATATGGATGATCAGCAAAGGAGTATATGTGGAAGATTGTGTGTATATATCAACTCTATTTAGTAACTTTGCTCACTAGGACAACCTATACGCCATCATTAATGCCTGCAACATTTACTCCATACGATCTATCCTGTAAAAAACTACCAGCGCTCCTTATTCTTTACAGGGATAGGCAGATAGACCCCTACACTGGGGTCCTGACTTTGCTAGCCAATCAGCTTAAGAAAATGTTTAGTGAACTACTGAAAAAGTGCAACATCAGAAATTGTTAACAGAGAAAGTAACTCTCACCAACACTATAAATATTTTAAATTTATTTTTAGCGTATCTTTAACATCCGAATCAAGAAGAGAAGAACGTATGATAATAATCCAGGCTTTAAAATACAAGTATATGTATGTAATGTGCATACTCATCGCAGTCTCCTTTAACTGTATTATGTTGGTTTTACCTCGTTTTCGCAACTTGGTCGGAGCAAAAAAGATACCATGTGGAATATACCTATTTATGCGTCCTTTGCCGTTGATTTAGTACATTCTCAGACATCTCACCGGCATCGTAATTGGCATCATCAGTGAGAGGCGCCATCCCTAGCACAGAGTTAAAACTTATCAAAGTGATAGGTAAAGGCAATCCCCTGAATCAACTTTCTGTTCAGCCGTTGTGGCATAACTCCTCACCCCCATACGACCAAGTTGCAAAAACGATTGCTCATTTTATATCAAAACAAGAAGATTAGACTCAATTTCTAAGGGATTAATGAACTTAATAAGTCACTAAAGATATGAAGATCAAGATGCTATGGCCTCTGGTATGGTCGCAATCGGACTAAGTGCGTTTTACTAAGTCGCACTGACAACAAGACCAAGTTGCGACAAGGAGGTCAACCCACTTAATAAGTCACTATTTGAGAAGAGCAACTTACCCGTGGCAGAAGCCAACTGATTGCCATTTGGCCACCAAGAGAGCCGTACGACGTACAACCTCAGAGTAGAGTTCAAAAACGGCATTTGTGAGGTGGCTTGGCATGTGGGCTTGCCAGATCTTAAAAAAAGGTTGAAAGTTTAGATGAGAAAACGTTAGTGCCTATGCAAATTTAGTTTGCAATGGTCATATTTATATGTTTAAAGTCAAAAAAAAAGAAGAAACGCTTATAAATATTCCTGGCGAAAGGTGTTCTAAGATGTTATCAAACAAAAGGACAAAGATAAATCAAACTTAATGTAAGTATTGAATAAAATATTTAACGATTTAAAGGATAACGCATAGCATTAATGTAAAAATATAAAATTTAAAGACTCTATGGTGAATCAGCACTCCAGTTTCATAGCCTAGTTATGTAATTTTGACTGAAAATACTTAATTATGTTAAGGAAACTATCCATGCGTTGTAGAACAAAATCAATTCAGAGCACTATTGGCATAGATAATTTAGAGGCAAACACAAATATGACTCATCGATGAATTCGCATTTTATAGGTGGCATGAGTTAAGTCATCTTGTCGCTAAAGCAATATTTGCGTTAAGGATCATCAACTCTAGATGCACTTGGATGAATAGGCAATATGCACATTTATCAGCATACATGTTATTACTTCAACTCAGACCAAGCATGTTTAATCTATCTATGCCAGGTCATAACTAAAGCCAGTCTAAAATTATCAGATAAACAAATTTGTCGCAGAAATGAAGTCCGCTTTTTTAATTTAAAGTCGCTAGCTTAATAAATCTTTCCTAAAAGATCAAGCGATCAGAGAACCCATGCAACATAATATCGGGACTCATATAAGATGCATAACTTTGTTACTTTCCGCTTTTCTTAGCTTACAGTGCTTAATCGACCAAGTAACGATTTGAATACTGTCGGCTTCAATAAACAATAACCAAAACAAAGTTTTCAGCTTTATAAGATCATATAAATTAAGGAATAAAGCCTAAACTATAGGCCTATTGTAATAGGCATTTCACATAAATCAAGCGATTTAAAGAAAAGGTTTTCTTATATAATTATCTCTTTGACAATTAAATATGACAAAATAATAGACTAAGAAAAAAACAGATATATGGAATGAATTATTGCGAGTTCAATGGTTTCTATGCCCTGTAATTATCTAAAATAAAAGTGATCAAATGAATTGGTATAAGGATAAAAAACACTGGAATAGTGGAAATTTTTTTTGGTAAAAATTGTCTATGCCCTTTTCGTATCTTCCATCAACGCAAGGGTTTACAATTAATAAATACCTTTCCCTGTTCAATACACAAGTCATCGACAGGAAAGTTGTTCTTTGAAGCCGTATATTGGTACGTATGTAAGGGTCAAGTTATGGAGTATGTGCGAAGAAAAGTTGGATTTCGAGGAATCTCTTTTTTCATAAGTGTTGAGCTTACTTCCATTTCGAGTGAAAGTGTTTGGTGAAGAGATTCGAAGGTCGATTCCACCAGAAGACGACGGCAGATTCTTCTTGACCAGCTGTCGATTGGCTTTACTGGAACATTCATGCTGCCGCTGTTTCCGAGGTAATCTCCTTCGATTCCGGTGAAAAGGAGCTAAGCTTTCGTGCGTCATATGACGAACATCATCAGAGCAAGATATCATCGTCACAACCAAATTCAAGCTAACGAGTCAAGAATACTCACCGGCAAATCTCTAAAAAGATGTATATACGACGGTACCTTGCTCCGATCATGTTCATCATATGAAGTACGAAAGCTTACACATTTTCCCCGGTATCTAAGAAAATTATTTTTGAAACAGCGTCACCATAAATGTTTAAGTAAAGCCAATCCACAGCTGCTCAAGAGAAATCCGGCGTCGTCTTCTGAAGGAATCAACCTTCGAATCTCTTCACCAAACACTTTCCCTCGAAGTGGAAGTAAGCTCAATAAGTTATATAGGTCAAATTTGGGGAAGAAAGGTCTGAAACCAAGTGAAAGCTACAACTGAGAATAAAAAGTATTTCAAAAAAGAGCTGGTGTATAAGGGCGATTATCTTGTTGCGAGAGTAGACCGCGACACAATTTTTAGCAATTTTTATGGCTTATCTTGGTTCCCAAAGAAACTCTAAAAACTCTCCTTAGGAGATCATTGCTCCATTATGCAGATATTCAAGTTCTAGCAATCATTAGACATCTCAGAGAGAGGACATTGGAATCTTGAAATAAGAAATTTTGTTTTTAAGACAGAGTTGTGTTTTCACACCAAACTGCTTTTATCTCAGGATAGAAAAGCTGAGACCATATTAAACACAAGAAAAGGTTTGGGGACTGTCGAGGATGGACTGAAGTTTCAACCTCGCCTCAATCTTTGCACCCCTAAGGGAACCTAATCTGGGAATGAAACGTATATTTTAGGCATATAACTACTTACCAAGTGGCCTCGATTGTCAATGGGCCACAAGGCAGACCAGACCCCTTCTTTATTGTTTTCATTCAGTCTCGAAACCAACTGATCATGAATGTAAGTAAAATGGTTTATTTCAATGCAAAAACACAAGTTTGCCTCATCGACAATCTTAGCATAAATGTAATATGGAAGGAAAGAAACATATTTTTCCATGCATATGCTGCACTCTTAGAAACTTAGATTTTAAATAAGAGCTTGAGCCAGTCCAGATCACCCTATGCTTCAAAGAGTAGCTGTAAATAAAAAACTTTGCAGAGGCTGATGGTTTTTGCATCCAGAGGCTGCTGAGAACGCGGCATAAATTGACTAATAGAAATGACTCAAATTCATCGGTTTGCTGAATATGATGTGTTTTTAATTAAGTGCAAAATAAGATCTGCCAAAATCAGTGCAAAGGGAAAATTTACAAGGTAAGGAATGGCGAAGAAAGCGAAATGCTAAATACATGTGCTTAATTGGCAAACTTAAAGAAAAGGATGTCGCACCATTTACAAAAAACGATTGGTTGCGTTTAAACTGGCACGCATACACATTTTACAATCTGATATAGCCCAGAAACCTCAGCAATTCAATCGGACGGACATCAAATAAAAA